CGTTAGTAGATAAATTAAGTGACTGAAATTAAAAATTCATATAATTTGTTTAATTTCTGTAATAAAACCTTCTTGTTTATTTATCTATTATCGACTTGCATTACACAAAATTTAATATGAACGAAGCCCATTCAGTTGTTACAATACTCGACATCATTCAGGGTCGAGTAAAAAATACACGATTTTTTTAACGGGTTCTTGGTGCGGTGCAATTCCGTTCCGAGTGTCCGAATACTCGGCCTTTAAATAAATATAAAGATTTCTACGACAGCAACTAATATTCATAATATAAATATGATTTTTAAAAGGGATTATATAAAACACACGCATACATACTCACGCCAGAAAGACTAAAACCAAGACTTTTTTCCCATTCCCCAAGATAAATTAAAGTCCAGGCTTTTTTGACATCATAGACAGCTGCTTTTTCAATAAAAATGGAACTCGTAAATTTATTTACCTTGTCATTGGTCATTTGAAAAATTATTTTGTTAAAAAAACATTCTGATTGTACACACAAGTACTCTGAAGTTGATGTTAAAAAGATTCTTATTCACAATATCTATGTAGTTTTTGGAGACCAGGTCTTTCAACAATCTATTGGAATTTCCATTGGTACCAATTGCGCCGCGTTATTACGAATATTTTTGTATTCATATATTATATATTTTTGTATTCATATGAAGCAGAATGTGTTTAAAATCTTATACACGAGAAGTAGAAAACACTTGCTGTGGCCTCCAACTCGACATTTAGATATATCGACGACGTATGATCAATCACCAATGGTTATTTCCATTCTTATGTCGATACGATATATCCCGGTGAGCTTGAATTAAAAAATACTACAGAGTCTGTCACATTTGTTTCATACATATTTGGATATTTTACTAGAAAAAGACGATAATGGTAATCTAACAATAAAGTTTTATAATAAACGTGATGACTTTAACTTTTCAGTCGTCAATTTCCTTTACTTATGCAGCTATATATACCTATATCACCTGCATACGGGGTTTATATCTCTCAGCTGATTCGATACGCAAGAGCATGCTCTACGTATGACCAATTTCTAAAACGAGGTAGGTTATTGACAAACAAGCTAGTTGATGAAACAAGAAGATCGGCAGTCTCATTTAAAGTCATCATTTCGTAAGTTCTATGGTCGATACAATGACCTTGTCAGCAAATACAATCTTTCACTAAGTCAAATGCTGACTGTCTTTTTCATACCAATTGTTAGGCCATTATTTACACACTGAATTGTCGACGGATTTTTCCGTTATTTCCCGATCATGGCAAGGAGCACACGGCGGGTGTGACCGGTCGGCATGGGATGCTCACTCCTCCATAACACCTGACCCCGACTCTGATGCTTTAGAGCTCCGTGTTTGCTCTGCTCCTGATTTGTATTGCTTAATGGACTTTTGAGCTTGAATACTGTTCGTTATTTCCATATATTTTATTTTTTATTTTTTTTTTTACAATTTTAACTTAAAATATCAGCTCTTGAGAACATCGGGGGGGGGGGGGGGGGGGGGACAATACGGAGCAGATAAATAATTATAACAATGTAAGGTATTCAAAACAATTCAAACTAAACTGTGTAAAATATTATATCTAATCTGTTTATTAACTACTTGTACCTATTCTCTCTCTCTCTCTCTCTCTCTCTCTCTCTCTCTCTCTCTCTCTCTGAAAGGTGCAATGAAATTGTACATGTAATTATTTATTCGTTTTCATAGGTACACATGTACACGCATGTGTGTTTTCTGTAACTTTAATTTGCATTTCCTGTTAATTGAAAATCATGAAAAATACATGGGTATGGTGTTGAGGCAGAAGAATTAAAAAAGAAAATGTTTAAAAGTTGCTAAGTACGAAAGCCCATTGAGCTCATTTTCGTAGGTAAAAAAAATATTTTTCGCTTTATAACGCGAAACTTGCGCGATTAATCGCGAAACTTTCGCAAATAAACGCGTAACTTTCGCGTTATAACGCGAAACTTTCGCGAATAAACGAGTAACTTTCGCAAATAAACTCGAAACTTTCGCGAATAAACGCGTAACTTTCGCGTTATAACGCGAAACTTTCCCTGTAAAACAGAGACATTTGCATAAGTCTACAGTTTGTTTTACTTTTTAATGATCTAGTTTATTCATTACAATGAAAAACGAAAGACTATTTTGAACTTGGATTATCACAAGCTGAAATTTTATGTTTTCTCGCCATTGAATGTGTCTCTCTTCTTTCTAAATCTGTTTTGTCGTCACATTTTGTCTTTCTCAATGCTGTTCAATACAAGTGTTGAAGCGTATAGTAGAGGAGCGAAAATACAAGTCTAGTTTTAATTAGATTGAACACTCTCTATAGAATTTGAAATAAAAGATCTCAGAAAATTGACAACAATGAGGTAAATTTGTATATTTCACGGAACAATTGTGTCACATCACATGAGTAACCTAATGTGAAAATTGGATGACAAATATTCGTATCAAATGATTCATCTCCAATAGGCTCAATGTAGAAATACAACATTGTATTTTAAAGTTGCACCACTTTGTCATACCATTACTTAATTACGAAAACATTGACAATTTATTCAAAGAAAGCAACGAGTGGAGATCTTTCTGAGAAAAAAATTAGTCTAAAGAATTTCTTGGATTCAACAAGTGAAAAACAAGAAAATCTTTAAAGGAATATTCATTTAATTAATTAGTAAGGTTTTGAGATTAAATGCAAAATCAACACTAATCTATCCATTTCTCGCATCAATTCTCATTTACATCTTCTGAAGAAATGTTATTTATAAATCCATAGAAGTCCCCCTCTGCGTTCATGTTTTTATCTGTCAGTCAAGATCACAGGTTCCTGAGTAACATGACTATAAATATATTATTTCGCGTTATAACGCGAAAGTTTCGCGTTTATTCGCGAAAGTTTCGAGTTATAACGCAAAAATTACGCGTTTATTCGCGAAAGTTTCGCGTTATAACGCGAAAAATATATTTTTTTTACTTACGAAAATGAGCTCAATGGGCTTTCGTAGCGAAGAATTTGTTCAATGAAAAAAAATTAAAATGCAACACTGAACTTGAACGTGCGATAAGAACGGACATGGAACTTGCATGAGTTTGTGAGGAGAAGGGCGATGTTAAAAATTGTATTACAGTACGTAGTACCGGGGGTGCATGGGGGGGGGGGAGAGAGAGAAGGGGTGCGCCTATATTTTTTTTAATGAGAATAGTCATTTGCCATATATTTCATTTATATTTATTGTATACTTTTTTCAATTCAAAGACGGCTGTCCCCTCTCTCTTTCTGTGTTGAAATATACGTAGTAGTCGAACCATCACATGCGAATTTACTTTTGTTGTTGCTGTTGTTGCCAAAAACAAAAGAGAAAACGATCGGAACAATCCCCTTCATTGAAAGAGGTTTTACTAAGCATATTTTTTTTTTCTCCAATTTGTTTGTTATTTGTTATTTCTCGTTTTTCTTTTTCTTCTTTCTTTTTTTCAATTTTTCATCAGAGTGCAAGGGAAGCTTTATTTACAATTAGATTAAAAAAATAATAATGTTTTTTTCTTTAATTATAATCCGGAAAATTACATTATCTGAAACATGAATAGCATCAATTCAAAGGAAAAACTTTATTAAGAATAGCATTTTAAACAAGAGGCCCATGGGCCACATCGATCACCTGAGCAGCAATTCAGTTCAGTATTGAAAAGCTTTAATGCATAAGTGGTCTCGACCTACCCTTAAAGGGGGGGGGGGGGGTATGATTTGAAAATTGAATCTACACTAACTAAGGATGCTTACATATTTCTTTGACTATCGGTAACTGTAGCTTTTTCCCTCCAAGTTTGAACTTAAATTGAGGCCCCACCCTACCCTTGGGCGTCATGATTTGAACAAACCTGAATCTACACCACCTGAGGATGCTTCCATATAAATAAGACCAATCATGGCTTTGCTGTTCTTGAAAATATTTTTTAAAAAAATTCCTATATACTCCTTTGTAAAACTTTGATCGTCCACTGTGGCCCTACCCTTCCCTATGGGGTCATGATTTGAACAAACTTGAATCTACACCACCTGAGGATGCTTCCATATAAATATGACCAATCATAGCTTCGCTGTTTTTGAGAAGAAGATTTTAAAAGATTTTTCCTATATATTCCTATGTAAAACTTTAATTGTCCATTGTGGCCACACCCTACCCCCGGGGGTCATGATTTGAATAATTTTGAATCTACGCTACCTGAGGATGATTCCACACGAGTTTCATCTTTCCTGGCCCAGTGCTTCTTGAGAAGATTTTTTAAAGATGCCATAATTTTTCAATAATTTATAATTATCTCCCCTTGGAAGAGGGCGTGGCCCTTCATTTGAAAAATCTTGAATTCCCTTTACCCAAGGATACTCTGTGCCAAGTTTGGTTGAAATTGGCCCAGTAATTCTGGAGAGATGAAATTGTGAAAAGTTTACAATGACAACGACAACAACGACGACAACAACGACTCACAGTCTGTTTTTGTATTAACCTGATTTGCCTGTCACTATCAGAGGGAGGTTCAATTTAATTTGTAAACATTTAATCTAGCGATCTAAGTGAGCAGATCAAAAGATCTTACTTTAATCAGGTTGTTTATTATGTAGAGTATAAACATCATAGAACTTTAGTTTATTTCCTTGATTTTGAAAATTAGCAATCAGATCAGTTAGGCCATCTTTAAAAAATTGTTTGGTTGCCCTCTCTCGACCAAATGGCTCAAAGTGGCACGGATCTAAACTTTTTTTTAATCTCCAGATTACTATAATTTTTATGCATTCTGGAAAATAGATTTTGTAAATTCAACACTGAACTTAAATTTTCTGGGGGAAAAAAAATGTCATCTACATACCGACCCCAATTTTTCATTCTGAGTCGGTAGAAAGCAAACAAACATTATTTTAAAGTTGGCCTTACTGTATTAAAAATAAATAAACAAAGATGAAATGTAATAATTTTTTTAAATATTTTCTCTCAACGAAGCATCTTGGTTTCTATGGAAGACCAATAGTGCATGATATACATGAAGTCAATGATGAAAATGTCATACAAGGTTAAATTCAAAGTTAATAAAATGCTGTATTTGTTCTATGCATGTGTCTTAAACAATGAATGTAAAATCTCAACACAAATTGAACAAAAAATGATGAGAAAAATATCTGTGCATGAAATAGGGTATGATTTTTTTAATGTTTGGATGATACAACTAAATGGGTTCTACCTGTAGCACAACTATATATAAACTATGGAACAACATTTCTGACAAATAAAATCTCTTCTAATTCTGCAACATACAGTACATTAACATCATTTATAAAGCACATCTCGGTAATAAAATGTGCATTAACTTATTTAATATACAAGTGGACATTGTTATATGGGAAAATTATATGTAAACCTAATCAAAAGAACAGTTTTTATTAAAATAAAGTTAATACATCAAAGTCAACATTTCACAAACAATAAAACTGAATAATAATACAGGTGGTAGAAGGGGGGGGGGGGGGGCATTCTCCTCCCCACTTTCAGAATTTTTAAAAATAAAATATGACATAAAATCTGTTAATAATTAAGTCAAAAGTAGGTTGTTGCTAATCCACCCTATGCCAAAAATGCTACTCTTGTTGTCATCAAGAATATATTTTTTCACTCTAATTCCATAAAATTTTGCATAAACACCATAGTTCCAAAAAGAAAATGATTAAAAGATGCATGTCATTTTGAGTATTCTTTGTTTTTGTGTGATGGACTTAAAACTTAAAATGCATTTTCCTTAGTAAATGGAAATGAATTAATTTTCATATACATTGTGCTTTGATTTCTCAAAATGGTCAAAGATATGATGTTGCTACACATTAATAATATATGATTATTTTCTACCCAAATAAACTTTTATGAATAATGAGGTTCAAAACTCCACAAATGTTTTCAATGAAGTAAACAGAATATCATTCGGACTTGATGTACCATAAATTCTCACAACACATGGCTTGTATAGAGGCATTACAAAAACACTTGATGGCCGGCTTATTGTAGTTAAAATATCACAGTAAAATCACTTAAATCTAGTAGATATTTTCACAACCATTTATTACTGGCATTCTGTATTTGATTTCAATAGGGTCTTTGTGCATGGTACTAAATTGCTAAAGATATATACTTTTTTCAAGAATAATGCACCATTTTGAACATTAAGTCTTTCAAACAAAGATCACGCATCATGGAAGAAAAAAAAAACAGCCCTAAAAAGAAAAGGAATAAATGATGTTTAAATACAAAACTGACAGTTTGAGGGAAATTTTTTACCTATGTTCAAAATGTTCTTCAATTCTGCTCACAAATGGACAAAAAGAAATCCTTAAATTACAAAAAGGCATGAACACGTACTTTTTTTAATTTAGATTTTTAAGATGTGATGTCAAATTGTAACGATATGGCAAGCAAATATTATATAATGGAATTTTCTTCGAAATCGGGTATAAATTAGAAAATTCTTTCCTTGCCATTTTTGTTTATACACGTGTATATATACTGTTACAGTATATGAATTTTTAAAATGTGCATTCTAGTTTGATTGCATCAGGTATTGAAATTTTCGTAAAAATCCATCTCTCTTTTCTTGATGAAAAATTATTAAAACGTGCCTCTGCATGTATTTTAAATTTGCATTGTTTTAATGAACAGTGTTGGAAACGCTATAATCTCCATGAAATATTGCAAATTTTTTTTAAAAAAAATTCCAGGTTAATATTGCAAAATTTGAAGCAAAATATCATTTAGTGTGGAAACTAATATATGATTGTGTATGCAATTATACATGTGCGTTTGTTGAATACGATCTTTTGTCACTGAATACACACTCTTTACGTGGCATAAAATATATACACCAATACTGAATATTTCACAAAAAATAGGAGCACAATCATTATAAATTCACAAATCCAGGTAATAACTTGTTTTCATGTTTCAATTGGTACTTTTTTTAAAAAACAAAATACTGGAAAACATAAACAATAAGAAACTGTTCAATATTTAGTTTGCTTAAACTATTCCTTAAACATGAATCTTAAAAATAATGTACATGTAACTCTTTTATAAAAAATAAACAAATTCAAGAATATCACAATATTTATAACTAACCTTTCAAGCATAAACAAAACTTTCAGAAAAACAACCTTCTATATGTAGCAGGACCTTTCATAGCCATTTTTGACAAATATTTTTCTTTGTATAATAAAGAGTTCTTTGTGTTTCAATTCTGACCTCAAGCTTTACTTACACATGTAATGGCAACAGGAATTTAAAAAAAAATCATGCATTACAACTTTCAGTTCTGAAATGCTTTTGTTTTCAAAATAAAATTGAATATAGGAATATACAGCACATGTACTAAGCAATAACTAACACTGCATTCTGAACCAAAAAAAGCATTGCTGTGTTTCATTTTCTTTTGGAGTTTTTTTCTTGCATGACTTGCATTTCATTTGAATTTTTTTTTCATTGTGCAATGTCAAACTTTTGTTCAATGTTTTTTTTATGGTCCACAATAATCCCAGCATGAATTCAACTGAAAAGTTTTTCATTTAAATGTTGATCACAACCTCCAAATGTCACAACCCAGAGCAAAAAGCACTATAATCAGAGAAGTCCATCTGAATGAAGAATCCCAGAAAATAGCCATGTGCTTTTTTTCATAGCCTTCCCACTATGAACTATCCTGAAGTCAAATTGAGTGAGTGGTTTTTCAGGTTTTGATACAAGGAGGATAAGGTTCCTCAGAAGTGGTCCACAAGTACGGACACGCTATTCCTTCCTACACGGCCCTGCGCCACTCCATCCATCCCAGCCAGTGTCATGTTCTGCCATTGTGTGGGATGACCTACAAAACGAGATGATGTGTCTTTAAGTTTTCATTACCCTCCTCAAATGAACAACTTACCAGTAAACTAAGCAATTAAGAGTATGACATTTCTTAGGATTTTTTTTTTTAATTCCTGATCACACCCATAAAGTTAATGCAAAATAATAGAGATAAAATCAAAGAATCTATACAGTAAACTTCAGTTATAAAGATGTACTTAGGACTACAAACTTCGTCCTTTTTACCAAAGATTCTTAATATTCAAATAAGGTTCATGGATACTCTGATCATGCTGCTGATAGGAGAGATAACTCTTAATGACATAAATGTCCATTATTCTTTTATAAATTTGCCAAGTTGAAATGTCTTTTTTTTGTCTAATTCTGCTCTGCAAGATATGCTATGATTGATTTTATTTTACTTATAAAATACTTTTCTTTGGAAAATCATAGGAGTTAAAGCAACATTTCATATGAGTAAGCAGAGGGTTTATGAACCTTAAGAATCATAGTGCAAAGTCTTCCCCAGGATTCATATCAATCTCCTTATAAGAGAGTTCTTTTTAATGGAGCTTTACTGTACATGTAAAATATATAACCTGTTGGAGAATCGCTGGATTTAAGGGCAAATGACCAGCTGTCAGGGTTAACAGAGGCACAATGAGGAAGGCGTAGTTCCACTGGCTGAAGGAACTTAAGGCCGTGTGGCCCACACATGACTAGAGGACTAAGAAGAGTTTCTCCTGGAAAAGACACCAAAATTATAATGTCTGTCAGAAGGCCACGTGCATCTTAAAATAGTTTAATGACTGAAAAAATGTTTGTGAAATACAGTTTATATCAAAAATATGTACATCCTGAAAATTTCTTTCAAAAATATATACAGTTATTTTGGTTTAATGCAAAAACCTATTAAAAAAATGAATTTGTGAAAAACTTGCTAAAAATATGTCAGTTCCACTAAAATCAGGTATATACCGGATATACTGAGCAAATTGCTTGTAAAATAGGCTTAACATCAGAACATCCAACAAAATGACCTCTTAAACATTACAAAACATGTATTCCCAAAAATGTAGTAAAATTTTACTTATTTTGCTTTGTTTTTTTAAAGCCAAAATATGATCCTATGAGAAAATTATTATTTATTTGGAGAAATTACTACTATCTTTTAAGGATTTTTTGTTTTCCAACTGTATATCTTTTTCTGTTGCTAAAAGCAACCCTCTCTATCTCTCTCTCATATTACAAAGTAGAAGACTTTTTCTGTATTTGAAATGAGATGCTTACCCTTATCTTTGTCCAAAGGAGGGAGAATATTGTTATCCTTGCAAACTTTGAAGTAAATTTCCTGCGTTACACCCTCTGGAATTGCAGCTTTTGGAATGACTATGCTAACACCTGAAAAGGATAAAGAATAACATAGATAAAATTCTTCATCTCCATGTAATATTATTTTTCATCTTTCTTCTCTTCAAAAACATACTTCTAAACAACAAACTATGATATAATTTAAAATTACAATAAACTAGCTGTCTCTATAACCTTTATCAAATACCAATTGATTTGCACTTAAATTCATGCATTAAAAAACTGATAATATTTTTTTCTATTAAAACTCTTTTTCAAAGTATTTTAATTTTTACCTGTTTCTGGGGATTCCAGCACTCCTCCCTGATGGTCAAACACACCTCTAGCGGTGGCCACCACCGTGTGGTTTCCCTCTATCAGCTGTCCAGTGTCAGGTCTGAAGAAAATGGACAATATTTTCAATAACACATCTACTTGAAAACATCACATTTTTTAACATAATAATGGGTCATACAAAAAATGATTTTAACAAAACTGATTCAGGTTTCCCTTTTTTTTTTTTAACATAAATGATGCTTATAATATGAAAAAAAAAATTAAGGGTATATTTAAATTCCTAAATAATGAGTTGATCAAAATATTACTATTTTAATATACTTATCATTTACAGAAAAATACACTCAATTCAAATATGGATGATATACTATTAGTTTTATAAATGCTATAAAAGCATCAACTACTTGGTAAATTATTAACAAACATTAAACAAAATTTTCATTTAAAGCTATTCTATT